GGCCCACAAGCTCACCCCAGGTCACAACCACACACCACACACCCAGTATGCTCTAGGCCCCCTGCTGGCCTTCTGTCTTTAGGACACACCAAGCTCCTTCCCACCTGCAGGTCTTGGCCCTACCTGCTTCATACCTGGAAGCTCTCCCCACCTCCAATCTTTATATGACTGGCTGCTGTTTTGCTGATCAAATCTCAACCTCAACTGCTTCTCTGTGAGCAGTCTTCCCTGACCACTCAATCTAAAGCAGTCATCTCTCTACTTTCTAGAATACTATACCATCTTAACTCTCTGCATAGCACTCATCACAAATAATATTTTCTTGTTTATTTGCTTAGTCTGTCTCAATCTGTCTTTAAAATGTAGGCTCTTTGAGAGAGAATCTTATCATTGCTACATCCCCAGTGCCCGGTACACTGTAAGTACTCAATAAATACTTGTTCGTGTCTTAGACATGAATCTGATGGCAAGGACACACACAATAAACACACCCTTCTCCCAAATCTAAGAGGTGGAACTCTGGGGCTCTGAGAACCAACAGCAGGAAGGACACAATTGCACTTTGAAAATTACAACATGAATGCCTCTCTGAAGGCACTTCTTGCTTCTTCTGATACTTATTTTTTAAAAAGTCTGCTATATGGTAACACAATATTTTATTTATTCTGTCCCTTAATAATTAATATTTGAGAACATTTACAATATTAATGAAACAATATAAGAGAATTTCAATGTACATCTTTTTACATTTCAATACCAGGTATTAATAAGAGAGGTAGTCAAAATAATTATGGTCAAAATTATGGTCAAAAACTTATAATAAATGTTTGGTGTTAGTCCACACACAATTCAGTTTTTGGTGTAAAGTTCTTTGCCTGCAAGAAAGAACATTTGGTTTACTTCACTAATAGGAATATCTCTTAACGCTGGGATGGCCTCTTCTTGGTATTTCTTCTGCTGTTGATTTTTAGCATAGTTATCTGTAAGAAGACAAAAGGCTCTTTTTACTCAAGCAATTTCTTCTATGGTCTCTGTGGTTTATAGAGAACCAACACATAGTTTACTAGGCTAACGTTTGGATAATGACAAATACCATGTTTAACATAATTAAAAGACTACTTAAGTTCTCTCTTTAGAAGAAATGTCCCAACTAGAATAAAAATCAGCAAAGTACTTTTTCCATCTCTAACTTGGATAAGAAAGTAATATTTCTTTCAACTGTATAATGATGATTAAAGTTACATTTGCACATTTCTCATCAGGACAGAATTATAC